TCAACAATACTTCTGACAGCAGTTCAATTACTCATTATCTTTCACACACATTATTCCGTCATGTTGTCACCCTCTTTTATATACCAGACTACCCTATATCTAGTAAATGCTAGAACATTCGCCAAGGTACAGGATAGTTCTAGAAACGTGGCGTCACACTAGTCATGTGGCTTCGCTTACGCAACAATATTTACCACCCATCCAAGAAGTACAAAGTTTAACATAAATTATATATTATAATATCATCAATGCTCAGGCAAAGCATAATTTTCATAGTCTTCAAACTTATTTGGTTACAGAGCCATAAAATAAAACACCAGATCCCTATTGCCATGCCCACCTAACACATCCTCTCTTTTAGAAATTGCTAATAGTTCTCTCCGCCATTCAATACTATATTAAATATAACCAACAGAAAGAAAAGGTTTTCATCTGTCAAGTGACATATTATATTACATTGTTTTCTATAAAGACAATTGTCAATTTTGCTTTCAGTTCAAGCTTCATTCCCAAGGGAAACACATCAATGAGCTTTTAACAGCTGTTGTCATATAGTTAGAAAGCCAGAAAATTTGTAATAGTTATGGGATAATTAAAATGTAAAAATAAGAAACTTTTTACATTAGTCAAGGTTTGATTAGGTGAAATAAATAACAATATAAAAAAAATTTTACAACGTATGCCAAGAGTAACTCACGTAAAGTAATTCAAAGTAAAATGTGAGCTGCACATTTGCTAAGTGATTTATAACTTATAATAGTGGAAATAGTAATTAGTGAGGGTTCAGAGGGCAATAAAACCATAAAATTTAAGTATAAATCGATGTATATTGTTAGGAGTGTAAAGCTATTTAGAATAAACAAATGTGGTTTCATATTACAATTTGAAGTCATTCTAGAAAGAAACAAAAGGGCAATTTAGATTCATTTTGATTTTTTTCCGGTGGTTACGAGGACAGTCAAATTTATCAACACTGTAAAGTTAGAGAGTAAAGAAAATATCAGATAAAATAAAAGTTTTATTAGTAAAAAAAAACGTTTGAAATTTATTTCAGAAAATTTAGAGATTAGGCAAGTAAATGTTTAGAATTTTGAGGCAAAGACAACTATTTTTAATCTTAATGTGGAAATCACTTAGCACTAGAATATAGAAATACTATATATATTCACAGACAAATCTTTAGTAAAATTACTTCATTACAAAATCTGATTTTTTGTGTACAAAAGACCTGTAATGCTTACTAATAGTCTGCCAAATTTTGTGAAGATACACATAATGTATTAAGAGTTATAGTATGAAAACTATAACAAGCACAAAATGGTTATGAGGTTGGTCCCTGTGACTGAGTCTGTAGTGAGAGAGTTAACAAAATCTTACCAGTTTTTGTGAGAATATGTTAATAAAACTCAGAGTTACCATAGGCATTGTTGCATACGTATCCTTCTTCAGTCGGGCTACTGCAAAATGCAGGAAATTATTGTGAAAGATTTAAGCCAAAAAGTTGCAAAGTTTAGGGGGTTGGCTGGATTGTTTCTTTTGCATAAAATATTAAAAGTGTTCATGTTCAGGCAAGTATTGAACTTAGTCACTTTATATTGGCAAGTAACCTTCCTTAAGACTTCTTCAGCCATCTACTGACAACATTCACAAAAATGGCTTTATAGAGCTGAGGAACCTGATCTTGTATTGCACATGTGCAGCCACTATCTTGTTTTGTGTGGGATTTTGGATTAGTGTATAGGTTTTACTCTCTCATATACCTGAAATGTAGTGTGAATTCAGCCATTCTGGTAGACAATGTAGATTCCAGATATCAGAATTTAAGAAATGAGAGTACCAGAAAGCTTTGTTTAGGAATCAATCCACCAAAAATGTTTCCCTGACTCATACATTAGATGTTAAAAATTACATTGCTAGGCCTAGTTGGGACTACTTAACTCTTTCATTCTAAGAGTAATTGCAAGAGAATAGTTTTATCATAATCAACCTAGAATGACTATTTTAGAATTAAAAACAATTTACATTATGGAACCTCTTACCTATACAACGACGGATAACAGTTCCATATTCGTCTCTTGAAGATCTGAAAACATTTTCAGTGTTTTAAATTTCATGTAACAATAATTTATGGTAAAAACAGAAATTACTATTTTTGTTAGAAAAAAAATTTTTTTTAATTTGGTTTAATGTCTCCACCCTCAACATATTCAGAAAAGGAATGTTATTTAATAATAAAAAAAATACCCTGTTCTAAAACAAGAAACAATATACGACTTATTTTTTTAATTTATGTGCATATGCTCCAAAACCTGAAAATACAATCCTTTAGGCGAAGGATAGGTAAAATATGGTCCGTCTAACATTTCTGTTGTGCCCGCCATGACTCCTGGCAATTGTGGAAAGAACATAACGGGGTCTTTATACAATAGATGTTGAGATAATTTAATTAATATAGTAGAAATGTGCAGCCTGCGACGACTCACCATAATTCGTGGAATGGCCCCCCCTGCAAAATTTATTGCCACCCTTGCTTTAGGCCATGCAAGATAAATTGTGCTAGAAATTGGTTTGGATATAATTCACAATGGGTGTGTGTGTGTGTGTGTAGTCTCAATACATTTATTTTCATCCCATCTCTCTTTTGTTTTGTTTTTTTATCCAATTGAGTATTTAAATTTAGATACAATATTTCAGTAAGATTTTTCTCACTTAGTGAGCGTAATGTGAGTACAAGATATTTAGCAAGCTCTTAGGCTTGGAAACTGAGAGCAGATAGAATAGATCTGAGAGGTAAACCATTTTTGTATATTTTCAATAAGCCATACTGTCATGATATAAAAGACTGTTTGGTTTAGATATTAGTCATTAATTTATTTTTGTGAGTGAATATTATATTGTTACGCCTCCAGTCATTAGTTAATTTTCGTTAACTTCGTTCCGACGAAACTTTAGTGACACAAGTCCTTTCTTAAAAAAAAACTGGTTTTGTTACGCCTCCAGTCATTAAATAATTTTCCGTATCTTCGTTCCGACGAAACTTTAGCGACACAAGTCCTTTCTTAATAAAACTGGTTTATTCTTTCCGATTACAACTTTACGATACACTTAGTTTCAACAGTCACGCTATAACAAACGCTATATCTCACGTGGCCAACAATATTTTCTCT